GGCCTTGAATCAGTGCTGGATTGTGTCAAGGCCTAGAGTCTGTGCTGATATTATCAGGCCTTGAATCAGTGCTGATGTTACCACTGGATTGTGTCAAGGCCTTCAATCAGTGCTAATGTTATCACTGGCCTATATGAAGGCCTTGAATCAGTGCTGATGTTACAACTGGCCTATATGAAGGCCTTGACTCAGTGCTGATGTTATCACTGGCCTATATGAAGGCCTTGAATCAGTGCTGATGTTGTAACTGGTTTGTATGAAGACCTTGAATCAGTGCCAATGTTATCACTGGCTTGTGTCTTGAATCAGTATCTGGTGACCTTGATTTAGTTAGCAGTGGATTGTATTTTGGCATTTAATGAAGGCCATGAGCCAAGTCCAGTGTTAGCAAGGTCTAGATTAAACACTAGATTATCACATTTGCATGACATGTCAGATTTGCTTATAACAAAAGGGAATGGTAACAAAACCACATCATTCTTTAGCTAGAACTTCATTGTATATACATAACCGACCTCATTGGGTAATGTCATAGCACTGTAGGATGAAATCAGTGGAATGCTGATGCTTGTTTGAAATCCAGGGAAATATGTAAATGCATGGTGTGTTTTTTATCTATGTGCTTTCTTTGACAGTTTTGTTTCATCAAATTAATGTTTTCTGAAATATTTGAAAAAGACACTGTACAAATTATTATTTTCATTCCAATTGTTAAATGATATAGTGTTTTCCTTTTACAATAAGGTGTGAACATGGTAGTGAATCAGTACACCAACAGAATACTCAGAAAGCCCTGCTCCTTTTGTTGGACAGTTAGATTGACAAATATGTCTCAGTGCATGTTGATACAGCTAAATACCCTGAATAGAAACCTGGGGGCCTGTTTGTTGTGTTCAGATCTGGGGAGTGAGTCACTCTGATCCATTGTGTATTAGCGAAATATTAGGACCTAGATGACGACAGTAACCCAGTTCCTCTGTAATTGGAGCATGGTATCCACTGATTGGATGATTGGATCAGTTCAGCTCCTTCTATCATAGCATCTATTTTCTACTTCCACTCACGGCGATATTCAGCCAAAATCTGCGGCAAATAATTGTACAGAAAACATTTATAGCATTGAATGTAGTATCACTTGAGAGTTGCATCCTTTAATCTAGACTGTCTCACAGTCCTTGAACCACATTATTTTCCCTACTGCCTAGCCCTCCCTGCAGTGGTAAAGCCCTGAATGAAGCAAGTCTAGATTTCCTATCTCACTGGGGCTTCTTTTCAATTTATATGGGTTTATTTGATACTATCAAATTTATATATATTCAGAGACTAAGTGCCCTTAATCATGCCAGGATCTGCATTGTTAGTTCATTTTGTCTAAGGGAATGCAGTGTGCATGGAAACTGGCTTCACTACTCCGGCAGCTCCTTAGCAGCTGTGCTCATTACTTACATGAAAATGTAGCCTTGCTCCAAGGCTGTTTAGAGTGTTATGTATAGTAATTCTATCCTTTAAAGAGGCAAGTCCAGATAAGCGGACAGTAAACCCAAGGCTGTTATTAATATTTTTTTAAAGAAATTATCATTTAAACTATTAACAATGACCTCAGAGACTTCCGCAAGTCTAATGAAAGAGGTAAACACCGACTTGGGTGTATCCTGTACTGTGTTGACATTCCAGGATGTTTTATATACAAAGAATCCTCTTTATTATGATAATAAATGCTACATTCAGATCCCACCAGACTTTCACCAAAATTTTCATTTGATACATCAGTCTGTTTTTAGTGTTTGCCCAAATTCACAGTGTTTACTTAAAACACAAACATGCAAGTAAAACACGCAACAGAGTAACATGCTACTGGATTATATGTGCAACACGTTAAAATATGGTACTTGTTGGTCCCTTCCTGGCGCTCGGCATTAATGTATATAACAAAGACTGGTCGACTCGAGTCAGTATAATGTGTTTTGAGTGGGAGTATTCATGTTTAACTGCGCATGATTTCTTCATAAGTGAGCAAGCACTATAAAACCAGCTGAAGTCTGGGCTAGTACAAGCAGCCACACATACACATGCATGCACATGAGCAAAATATTCTTAAGTACGACGTTAAACCACATTGTAAACCAAAAATAACTGTGTTCTATAATCTGATTGGTTCAAAAACGTGATCAAATGGTATTCGATTCCCGGAAATTCGCTGCGTATTAATACATACAAACATCGCTCACACCATTGTATTGTTACGTTGTCAGCTGAGATGACGTCATTCAAATCTTATTGTGACGTAAAGTCCGAATGACGTCACAAATGAGCAGTTCCAGATGCTACCATGGGAGACAGCCGAAACGCCTGGCTGATGACGTTGCACTTCTGTACCCGTACTCTATGTCAATGAGTGCAGACACAAAAACGTGTGTGGAGCTTTTGGTTTACTTTTGTGTTTACAATGTCGATAAACATCATGTGTTGGCCAATTTCTGGGTGTTATTGAGTATTTGAAGCACGGGAATATTTCATTTGAAACCTACGGCTGACGCCATCGGTTCCAAATGAATTCCCGTGCTTCAAATACTCAATAACACCTGGAAACTGGTCAACACATGATGTGTATCTCCTAATTTCACCTCACCTTATATGTGCAACATTACCTCAACATTACCAGCTGTATCATCTCATAAAATTATGGTAATATATTCTGTATTACAAACCCATTGGACTTTCACATGATGTTTAATGTGGTTTATCATCTCGTTAACATTTGTCAAAAATGCACAATATTTATGTAAACAAGAAGAACTGAACAAGGAAGTAAAAAGCTAGGTACATAACATGCTACTGGATGATTAATGTTTCCAACTGGATCATTTTCATGAGTCTCATGAGAATCAAGCATTCTTCAGTGTATCCATATTTAATTTGAGTGAGTACAGATAATGTTAATTTTCCCTTGAGACACAGATCATGACCATGTCGTGAGTATTGAAACAGCTTGAACTTGTGTACGTAGGAACATGTTGTATATGACTTACAGAGAATCTTATTAAAATGCTACAATCTACCAGGTAAATCCATGCTACTGGTTGGCTACACATGGTATAATTATGTATGCATGAGGCTGCCTGTTGCTGCGGATACGGTGTATATTGATGATATGTCATGTTGGCCAGTACGACTGGTAGTGTTAACGGTATGCTAATGACTGGAGACATCTGGCAGTATACAGCTATGACACGTGTCAATGAATAAAAGGAATAAAAGCAGTCTTGGCCAAGTACAGTCATGCAGTATTTGATAGAATTTATGTTGTAAAATGGCATCATTACCTCCATAGATTACTTCCTGATAATGGTACTGTATCATGAATGACTTCTCTTTCTCTCCACCCCCCTCCCCTTCTCTCTCTATCTCTTCCCTTTCTCTTCTCTTCCTTTTCTTTCTTTTCCCCCCTCCCCTCTCTGTCCCCTCGTCTTCTCTCTTCCCCCTCGTCTTCTCTCTTCCCCCTCTTTTCGTCTTCTCCCTTCCTCCTCTTCTCTCACACTCTCGTATAAATCCTCGCATCGGTTGATCTTAATGGGCCAGAAGGAATTGACTGCACTTTGACTTGGTACTTGTGTTTGAAGTCGCAGTGCCATTTGTCTCTGTGACATCTCAGGTCATACAGGACTGTTAGACCTGTATGGTCGAAGTTATTCTGTTGGAATATTTGGAATTGATTGCCCATGTAGTTAGCTTGTGTTCAGTGATGCAGTAACTCATAAACATCTGCTTCATTATCTTACCAGCCAGAAGTAAATTATATATGTTTATCTAGTTTCCACTTCAGTTTATTTTCACAACATTGCTAGATCATTGAATAGGTTATTTTTTGTGGTCATTAGCTCATCAGTGATGTGCCTGTGAAAGTGTCAGATTGATCAATAACAAAATAGGTCAAAAGTTGACGATTCTGGATCAAACTGGTTTGGAATTTGTGTTTTTATGGTTGTTGAACAAAGTGAACCAAAATGTCTCAGTAAAGATGCATCTGTAGAAATGAGTTCATTTTGAGTGCCAGGTAGGTCAAAGTCACGGTTATGAGTGAAACAATCCGACTTGTTAACGAAGTGGAACACTATTTATGGGTAGACAACTTCTTTGATGCAGTAGATGCGACGTTTCGGTAAATGGTGTTAGGATCTACACCGAAATGTCGCATCTACTGCAACAAAGAAGTTGTCTATCCATAAAAAGTGTTCCTCTTCATCATACAAGCTTCTAAATGCCACTTCAAGGAAGTTTTGTTAACGTTAATTTACCAAAATTAATAGCTCTTTAGATATTGGACTTTGTTGTATAACACTACCATCCTGCCCGTTGGTTGTTTCATAGCATGCGAGGTTTTATTTGTTTCAGTTGTTTTATGTATGTAATTGTTAGAATTGATCTCCAGTAACCCATGCTTGTCTTAGGTGGTGACTAATGGGGTCGGGTGGTCAGACTTGCTGACTTGTTTGACCCGTCATTGTATCCCAATTGCGTAGATCAATGCTTGTGCTGTTGATCACTCGATTGTCTTGTCCAGTCTCTCGATTATTTACAGACCGCTGCCATATTGCTAGAAGTAGAATATTGCTGAGTGCTGCGTAAAACTAAACCCACTCACTCTCTTTTACCTTGTTTCAACCATTTATTACCAACTGTTTCATCTTAAAAGTATTGAATAATTTCACATTCTATGTGCGTTTTGTCTGGCAACTCTGTCCCAGCATAAATGATGGTTTTTGTCAGTCAGGCTAATGTGCAGAGTGTCTACATCAACATCATCTTTGTAAACATCCTGCACCAAACTAAAAGATTAATGCTGTATTTTCCCCTGCACTGCCTCAATGAGACCTTTTATGTTAAAAGATTCCTTCACAATGATAACCACTGCTGTACTATGTGCTCAGCAGGATAGACAAACTCATGGAAATATGTTTACTTTTTGCCCTGAAATGATAAAATATTTTCTTTGTTTCCAGGTTGTCCCAGAGAAGCAGCCATGCTGATATTGTTACTGTGTGAGCCATATTCTCAAGTGATGATGCAAGGGAGCATATAAACATGTGGTGCTACATAAACCACTGCTTCAAGTCCAACTAAATCAAGGAATACCCTTTCACCAGGAACATTCAAAATTGTAAGTGAAATCGTTTCCTGCTTGTGGTATAATGCATGAGTCCAAGTAATTGCTTTCTCTCTTTGAGATTCTCAAGCACTCTTATAGTTAGAAGTTCTGAACGCAAAGCTGTTAATGTACCCCTTGAATGTGTTGAATTTATGTGAAAAAAATATGCCATAGATCAAAAACAATTGAGGCTGAATCATGGCTTTGAGCATTCTTATAGAATCAATTATTGTAAATATTAGGACTATGTTTAGCTGAGCTTACATGATCCCACAGATTTATCTTGTGGGTCGACCTAGTGGATGAATTTGCAGACTGAATAATAACAGAAACTTCACAATCATCATCATGTCAGTCTTCTTCCATGTCATCCATAATACAGGGTGTTGTAGTAGCAGAGTGGTTGAAGCACCTGCCACACCAAACACCCAAGTTTCATTCCCCACCCTTGTACCAGGTATGATTGATGCAGTATTGCTGATAGTGGCCTTATCATATGAAACCATGTCAATACGTCATAGTCAGTTTTTGCATTGAAAGTATTTGCTAAGTGGATTGACTGCTATTAGTTGGTGTGAAAAATGAATTTACAGCCTCTCATACTTGTGGCTTCCGGTTCCCTGCCAGGTGCTCAGCATTGAGGGGATAAAACAGGCACTTGTCGGCTTAGAGTCATTAGGCCCCAAAAAATAAATGTTATGGTTCCGATTTCCTACATTTCAGAACTAGGGTAGGTAGGTAGGTTTTGGGGTTTTTTGCAAAATATTTTTACATTACTCATCATGGTCATGTGTCAGAAAATAAATTTAATTTATTATGTGGTGAGTAAAATTGTTAGGCTCGACGGGAATATTTAGGGTCGGTCGGGAAATCGGAACCACAAGCTTTTTTTTTTAGGCCTTATAATGTGTGAGTTGGGTGTGAATGTTAACCATGGCATGGTATATCAGTGGCTAGCACTATAAAAGTGGCATTAGTACCATCTGGTACAACTGACCTGTGTGTAAAATAAGCATTACATCGTAAAGTACATCACTGCATTAAGGGCAATAATCTTAAATGCAGTGTTAAGTAGGGATGCCACAATATATCAATGCATCGATACCTTTTCTAAGACGATACAATTATCGATACATTCTAAACTGTATCAATATTTAGTTTTGAAAGTATAGGTTTAAATATGTGTATGTATCATTTACATTTTGCAATTGTATCATGTGTTTGGATGTTATAAAGAGTTATAAATGATTATTTATCATGCACAAAGATGGGAAACTTTTTAATCTCGGAGAATAAAAAATGTTGATCTTTTCATGGACAATAATAAAATATGAAATGTTAAAATGTAACTAAATTTACGCAATAATGAAGCGAAAATAGGTATCGCGATACGTATCGAATCGTGACATGGGTATCGTGATACATATCGATTCATGAAACATGTATTGTGACATCCCTAGTGTTAAGCTCTATTTCATCTCACCCCATGTAAGAACCCACTAAAGTGAATTGGATATTTGTGATCAAGCTTTATGAGTTGGATAATGTCATTGTGACCCAAGAGTTAAGAATAATTCTTATGCTTACAGTCACTGTTTTGTCTTGAAGAGACTTAATGATTTTCAGGCCAATGTTATGTTGTTTGATTGTTATCGACTGCGGCGTAAAACACCATGCACTCTCTGAAAGGTTTTCAGAAAGACAGCATAAAAGTAGCGATCAGCACTTACTATGTCGTGTTGTTAATGCTGGACTCTTTTGATGAACAAAATAGATTTTCCAAGGTGCTGAATAAGTCTGTATTTGTGTGAGTTAAATACGGGATGTTGTTGAGGCTGTAGGGAGTATGTACTTATTGATTTTGTTGGGAGCCAGTATCTGGCAAGGTCTTTGTAGGTAGAACACAGATGGTCATCGCTACAAGGACTTTTGCTTGTTTTATTATTGATTACAGTGCACTTGGTTGCTGCTGTTTGTCAAAGAAGACAAGTATTACCCCAATCCTCACCACTGTCTGCTCTTATATTTTTTACCCTTTCTTTACTGGAGATTTATCTGCAGTGATCAGGGTGATATGATAAAGAAGTTAAAGCAAATCACATCACTGCCTTTGAAGCACAGGAGCCTGAGGTTCCTGATAAATTTTGTGCAGCGTGTTTGCGACGTTTTCATGTCACAAATGCTTTGACACATCAAACGAATGTATAAATACAGTTACGCATTAAAGACATACAGAAGGTACTGAGGGGCCTTGATGTGGCAGTTTCCAATTCAGCAGCATACAGATATTATCACTGTATTACCTCAGAGTGCAGAATTGTTTCACTGAAATAAGGCATGATAGATACAAGCAGTGTGCGAAATAGTTTCCAAATTTCGTAAGTCAGTTGGGCTAGCTATGCCTGAAAGTTACTAGCCCACAAATTAATTCACTAGCCCACAAATTAATTCACTAGCCCGAAATATGAATGTAGACACAGGCTAATATGATGAACATTTTTATCAGGCCATAATCTTGCATGATTTAAAAGTGTATTATAGCTTAAGAAGTCGAAGAGACTGATATATTTACGGCATGAACCCATGAAAATACACCAGCCAGTCGGGCCAGTGACTGTGGATATCTACTGGCCCAACTGGATTTTTACTAGCCACGGACCAGCAGGCCAGTGGCTATTTCGCACACTGGATACAAGTACATCTTTGTTGTGACTGCATTTCATACCTGGTGTCCTCCGTCATGATGTTAATATTGCTGTAAATGGCATAAGATCTGGGTTAGAAGACCGCCACCATATTGCTGGAATATTGCTGAGTGTGGCATAAAACTGAACTCACTCACTCACTCAAAAAACCCAACTCACTCACCCTTGTAGTTTGATATAACTATGTGTATCATGATACATGACCTGTGTGTCATGATAGTGTACACTGTAGCATATCATCTTGCATTATTGTGATATGTATACAGTATAATATTTATATACTCATAGAAACAAATAAGGGAACACATGAAAGTACAAGTGTTCCTTTATCTATTTCCAGAATTTCATTCACAGTGCAGTTAACATACCTTATGAAGAAACCTGGAAAAGAATAAAGGAACACTTGTACTTTCATGTGTTCCATTATTTGGACAGGATTGGCTTGATACATGTCTTCTTTGACAAACAAGTACATTGTTTCAAAAATGGAATCTTTCAATCCTGCATCACTCACTCACTCAATCACTCAATCACTGTTTAAAGGTTTCATGCAAATCAGTAGAGGATGCAGACTGGATATTTATATCACTTGTTCATTGTAAACAAGGTAATACATTTAAGGAAAGCAAAAAAACAGACAGAATCATTATCAACCAAACTTTCGGTACACTGATGAGTTATTGACTCTCACAGCGAAACATGAAAATTATAGTAAATAACTTTTGCCAAGCATGATGAGTCACCTGGAAGTCTGTCAAAAGCTGATTGTGAATACAGCAACGTGAGTAAGGTCAGCTGTGGCAGGTGGTGGTATTTACCTCCGTGGCGTTATGTCCTCATAAGGGACGGTGGGGTAGCCTAGTGGTTAATGTGTTTGCTTGTCACACTGAAGACCCAGGTTCGAGTCCCGATTCAATGTGTGAAGCCCATGTCTGGTGTCCCCTGCCATGATATTGCTGGAATATTGCTAAAAACGGTGTAAAACCAATCTCGCTCACCCGCTCACTCTGTCCTCATAAAGGCTGGGGCAGTGGAGTAACCTCAGGTGTTCAAAGCATTCACTCATCATGCCAAAAGGCTGGGTTTGATTCCCTTATATGGGTACAATGTGTGAAGCCATTACCTGGTGTCCCACCACAGTGCAACATCACATGCTTATTACACTGCTTAATGTAGGCTAACTAAATACATGCTGTAGATTGTTTGCTTTGAGAAATTTGTATGGATTCCCATTTGGAAATGTTACATGCCCCTGGGTTTTTTTCAAAGTTGACGTCTGCCGATATTTGGATCTTACCTATGACTGTTTCACTTGGATATGGCTATGTATAATTCACCTGAACTAAAACATTTGTCATCACTCTTGGAAAATTAGACTTGATTTTATAATAGGTGCCATTTTCACAAAGTCAGTCTTTGAAGTTACATGTGACTCTTTGAGACGTTCCAGGTACGTGTGATACATTTTGTTTCACTAGTGTCAGCATATGACTTGTTACTGTTTAAGATCTTGTAGATTTTTGTTTCAAGACTATATATTTGTTGGTCACTGAGTCACCCAAAAGCTGTGACTAATATATGCATTAGGCCCAGTGACTTTGCTTTTTCTGATCCTGATCTGTTTGAATACATTCCTGCTACAGTGTGTTGTCTTCATTCTGTAGCACAAGGATAAAAGGTTGCTTAGCAAGATTACTGGGTGTTAGTATCGTTTATCATGGTTAAATGATTATATGACTAAGACGTAAGTGATTTATAGCCTCAAATTTGCTTTGACATTGTGGTTTAAAATGATCTCTCATATGTGTAAGAGAAAATTCCTAACAGTGTGAGATTATTGTTCAAGATTATTGTTTGACCTAGGTGGATTGCTGACAGTGTGAGATTATTGTTTGACCCAGGTGGATTGCTAACAGTGTGAGATTATTGTTTGACCCAGGTGGATTGCTGACAGTGTGAGATTATTGTTTGACCCAGGTGGATTGCTCGACTCAGGTGAGATTATTGTTGGAATTTATTGTAGGACCCAGGTGGATTGCTAACAGTGTGAGATTATTGTTGGGGAATATTTTTGGACCCAGGTGGAGTGCTAAGAGTGTGAGATTATTGTTCGAGATTATTATTGGACCCAGGTGGATTGCTAACAGTGTGAGATTATTGTTGGAGATTATTGTCCGATCAGGTGGATTGCTAAGTGTGTGAGATTATTGTTAAGGATTATTGTTGGACCCAGATGGATTGCTAACAGGGTGAGATTATTGTTGGAATTTATTGTAGGACCCAGGTGGATTGCTAACAGTGTGAAAT